CCCCCGGGTATTCTCCCTCCCCCCCCCCCCCCCTCCATATCATTGAGCTCCTACCCCCACACCTGGGGATCTACCCACTCCCATCAGTGACCTTCTCCCTTCTTCTCTGGACTCTTCCCTCTAGCCATCTCCAACACTGAACTGCTGCTCCCTTCCCTGGGACTCTCATCTCCTCTGCTATGACTCAGCCCATCCTCATCCTGCTACCCTCTTCTATAGGTCTCTGCTCAGCCAACCCACATCTCCGACATATTGTCCCCCCATTCCCAACACCGCACTGGTACCTCCTGCCTTGGGACTATGTCCCATTCCCCCATTCCAAACGCTGAGCGAGTACGACCCTTACTTGGCATTTACTTGCTACTCCTCCTCTCCCTTTGTACCAACCCTGTAACCATATAGTCCTTTTCATGCCTTGCAATCCTATAGCATTCCACTTGCTCCCATTTTCTGCATCATATTGCATCCTTCAAACATCCATCTCATCAAATAATATATGTCAGTCTGTTTTTCTCAATTATGTAACCATGTAAAGTAATTAGTGAATGGAAGGTGCAGCAGTTGCATGTGACAAACAGGGAGGATTGATGCTGAAGAGGCGATAACCCCAGCACTAATGAACTTTTGGGTTTTGTCCCTTAGATCTGATTTCCCAGACAATGATCCCAAAGATGATATGATAATTGCTGGTGACTGAAAAAGAGAAAGCACTTTGGGGACTGTACTGAAGCAACACAGGGAGCAGGAGGGAGAAATACTTGTGCCTGCTTCTCCAGCAGTGCTGGCTCTGCAAGCTGTGTGTGCGGTGCATTTTCAGCATAGCAGATTACTAGTCAGGAAACAGCCAGTTCAACAGCTGGACCTGAGACACTCCAGAGTCAAGAGAAGAAGCAGCACCAGCATGGACAAGGACAGCATGGGCCTGGCTGACCAGCAGTATGAATGTGTGGCTGAGATTGGTGAAGGAGCCTATGGGAAGGTGTTCAAGGCCCGAGACTTGAAGAATGGAGGTCGTTTTGTAGCCTTGAAGAGAGTGCGGGTGCAAACAAGTGAGGAGGGAATGCCACTCTCCACCATTCGTGAGGTGGCAGTACTGAGACACCTGGAGACCTTTGAGCACCCCAATGTGGTCAGGTGAGGCTCTAGAGTAGAACCTATGGTCAGCTGGGGTCCAGTTTTGTTACATGATAGAAGGGTGGATTTGGACACTAATTTGAGTAGATGGATGGAATGAGCAACTAAAATGATACATGGAAAGTGATGTCAAGATTTTAGTAGGCAAGCATGCCACCTACCTGATATCACCTCATCCTTTTTCTCTGCCACCCACAAACAGAAACCCATCTCCAGAAGCATAGGCATGTGACATAAGTGTTTGAGTAGATGCGCAAGGAGCCACAAATACCCTTTGAGCCCCACAGGCATTGTCTTGGGTGTCCACTCAGCAGATTTTTGGCACCCCTATTCATTATGAAATTGGCAGTGGGTAATGTGATGATCCCTCCAACTTTAGATGCACAGGTGTGGGAAGTTGTGCAATTCTAGTTCAGTGTGTTAAGCAGAAGCAGGAAAAGTGACCACTTAGGACTTCATTGGAGGGAGAGGGGGACTTGTAACCACAGATACAGAAATACAGTTTACAAGCCCTGCTTCTGAAATATCAAGAAAGGTACAAGGATTTCCATGTTGTGACTAGAAATTCTCAATACCCAAGCCTAAAGTTATTGAACAAAGGCTGCTTTTGTTATAAGCCTTTATATCTTTATGTATTCAACATTGTGATTTATATGACATGTCACTTTTGAATGGCTTATTAATCCTTGTTGGTTGTGCCTAGGGATGCTGGAAAACTTAAGGAAACTTAGAGGGAATTTTGCTGGAAATATTGTAGGAATTTGCTGTGAACATTGTAGGAATTGCCCTCTACTGTGTAATTGCTTTATTAGCAAATGGTCATACATTGTAAACTTATTGCATGATTGCAGGGCTAAGCGAAATCAGCAGAGAGTTTTGGAAAGTTCTTTTGAGCTATTTCTTTTCAAAATATGTAGAATTCATTATTAATCATACATTATGAACTTTAGCAAATGGACATTTTATAGGGGGTTTACCTGTACATGAGGGTGTGATACTACACTGATCTGCACTTTAGGTGAGAATGAAATGTAAACAAATACATCTCCGATATTTATGCATAAGCTCAAATAGTGCAACATTAGACAGCAAAATGAAGACAGTTCATACTTTTGTGATGCCAGATCTCATATAGGCCTAGGAAGCAAAAGTACAAGATGAAGAATACGATGTCAGCTCTGAGATTGTTTTAGGGTCTGGAGTTGAGGTTCCATATTGAAACTGCAACAGGAGAATGGAAATTAGGGCAATTGTTTAAATACAAAGGTAAATAGATAAGCTGTCATTCTCTTTTCCAAATGTTTGTGGCAGTAGAGTCTTATTACTCCAAGGATTTGGTAGGCAAAGGATTTACGTTCTAAAAATAACTTAGAAAATAATGTCTTTTTTTAAAATGAGAGGAAGGCTTTCCCTTACTGTATGTCTTTTAGATCTCAACTGGACTCCAAGCAGACACCTCATTGAGATTAGTGTGTTGTAGACTGGAGTTTATATATTTGTTGTTTCTGTTGTTTGGATAGTGACAGTTTTTTTATGGCTATCTAGTAATACAGAGGACTAGAAACTTAGTCTAAATTTTTCAAATGTGGGTATTTAAAGTTGAACAGCATATCCATATGGTGCTTAAACAAGTGGCTTGCTTTAAAGGTACTCTGTGATTGCACACTGTTTCTGTTGTAGGATTTGGGTGTGGTCAGAACTTCTAAAATTCAGGCCTCTTATTTTGGTGCCTAGGTACAGATTTAGGTGCCTTATTTTAGCCACTCTCCATTTGCAACTTTTGATCTTTGTTTGTTTGTTTACTTGTTTGTTTGTTTTAAATGAAAGTCTAGATGGTATAGAAAAAATGAAAATCCTGGAGATGCTTAAATATAAGACATACCAGTGGCATTTTTGTCCCTGCTGGGGTCACTCCATATACACTCCATATCCAGAAAGAGGGTCAGTTCTTGAACCTTCTAATTTTCATAAACCCTTTAAAACACTTTTGTAAACACTTTAACACAGCAAAATCACAGAGAGCAAAATGTCTGAAAAAGAGGGTGCAAATACAGACTTGTTCTGTTCAGACTAAAATGCAGAGCAGCCTTTAGTTGGTGTTTTACAGATGTATCACAAGTGAAAATATTTATAATAAGATCAAATGAATAATGTATCACGTCCGAGCAACAAGTACTTAACCATGTACTTTTGAATATGTAGTTTTAATAGAAATGTATCTGGAAGAATGTTCCAGGACTTAATTACATTTTCTTGAAGCCTGCAGTGCTTGCTGCAACCAGCATTTCAGATGCCACAGGTTGGGTCATTATGTACTAGTGAGTTTGGCACCTTTACCGCACCTTCTTTCCATCTGTGGAAGTAAGAAATAAAAAGCAAGTTCACGCAGTAATTCTTCTGGAATGGAAGAAATTCTATTTAAAAGCATACCTTTATTTTCTTGGTATCTTTTGAGTAGGAGGAGATTAAAGTATTGTTCTGGAGTATTTGAAATAATTTCCTTTTAATGAAGACTAACTTGTTTGTATAGGAAGGAACAAATATTTAAATGTTTTGATTCCTTTACCAAACATAGTAGAGGATCTTATAATTTCTTGAGATTACAGGATTACTTTTTTGTATTATGTAAATATATCCAGAAAAGGAAATGTTGAATACTAAAATCTGCTGTTTCACTCCATTGACCTGTCTGCACGCAATTATGAAATGTATTTTGTTCATTACAAATGTTGAGTATCTGAGAAACCAGTCTAGAAATGGGAACCTTGTCAGTATTCATGAATAAGGTAGTGAAACATGCAGCATTTTCACACTAGGATAAAAACTGCATCATTATCAGATAACTAGAATAAAAAAATTAAAGTAGCATTTAAAGTCAAGTATCATAGTGAATGGGAAATTTCTCTTTTTCAAAATAAGTGATAAATGAAAGTATAACGCAGAAAAGGGTGTGCTGAGCAATGAAATGTGTGAGTCATGAATTGTTCAATAAAACTCATGATGGCTGTATGAATCAGAATATAGACAAACTTCCAATAATTGTGCCACACATGATCAATGCACCTGAACAAATTTGCTTCCATCTGCTCGCGTCAGACAGTATATATCAATACACCCACAAATGATACAACTTTCAGTGAACAATAGAACTTGCTTTGTCTTCTTCCTCTTCCTTTGGAAACCCCCGTCGGTCCAGTGATGCTGATGTGGTTTTAGTGTGCAGGAATGGCCAGGTCATGGTGCCCTGCACTGAATGGGATTTTTCTGGCTGTCCCCATGGAGTGGAGGATGAAAAATGATTGGGGCCTAGGATGACCAGGTGCATGGGATGTCCAGGTAGACCTGTTGCTACATGAATTCAGCTGTCACAGATCTCTGTGGAGCTGGATTGCAGAAATGACAAGAGGTACTGTAGACTCGGGGTTATCATAGTGCAGTGGTCACCAACCAGTAGATTGGGATCTACTGGTAGATTTTGGAGCCTCTCACAGGTAATCCTGACTGGTTTGGCCAAGAGGTTATCAAGTGCCAGCACTTCAGCTGCCCCTCCCCCCACTGCTGTGCATCTCCTGCCCTTTGCCTTGGAGCTGCCCCTCCCCCTTGGGAGCCTCCTGCTTTCTGTGCAGGAAAAGGGACGAGAGGAGGGGTGCTGATGTCAAGGTGTCCCCTCCCACTCTGTATCCTTTCTCTACACAGCAGAGGGGGGGCACAACAGGACTTGGGATGGAGTTTGCTGGTTGCTTTAGGGAGTGGTCCAGGGTCAGGACAGGGGTGAACTTGCCTTAGCCCCACTGCACCACCACCAACTCAAGAGCCACCTGAATAAGCAGTACCCTGCTGGAGCCCACATCCTGAACTCCTATACCAGTCATGAACCCCTTCTTGCACCCCAAGTCCCTGCCGCAGCCTTGCGTACCCCTGCGTCCAAATGCTATCTAAGAGCCTGTACCTAGAATCCCCTCCTGCATCCCAACTGCCTGTCCCAAGAGCAGCTCAGAGCCCCTCACACTCCAGATCCCTTAATCCAAGACCGGAGCCTGCTGCACCCCAACCCTCTGCCCACGCCTGATGAAAGTGAGTGAGGATGGGCAAGAGAGGATGGAGTGACTAGGGGTGGGGTCTTGGAGAAGGGGCGGGAAGGAGGCAGGGCAAGGGCATTTACATTTGAGGTAGATCTTGGATTGAATTTATATTCAAAAAGCGATCTCATGCTCCAAAAGCTTGGAGACAACTGTCATAGTGGTTTGGATTTCTTCCCACAGCCCCTGAAAAACAGTTTGTGCCCAAGCTACTTGGCATTGGGATGGTAAAGGTTTTAACCTGGTTGACAGAAATGTCACAATGGGCTACACTTTTAAATAACCATTAATAACATTACAACTTTTTCTAACCATGCTGTTTTTTGCTAATTCAGCTTCTGTTCACATTGTTTCAGTCCTGGCTCTCCTTCTCCATATTTCTATATTGCAGTGCTGAATTTGTGACATCACAATTGCTTCTACTCCAACAGATTGTGAATTTTATTCTGACTTCACTGCAGGATTAATCAGAAAGGGTATGTCTACACTACCCCGCTAGTTCGAACTAGCGGGGTAGTGTAGACATACCCTTTCTGATTAATCCTGCAGTGAAGTCAGAATAAAATTCACAATCTGCGGGGTTCGAACCAGCCGGGATTTAAAAATGGTGGCGCCCAGTTTATGCAAATGAAGCCCGGGAAATTCAAATCCCGGGCTTCATTTGCAAGTGCGGTATGCCTACATCACCCCGCTAGTTCGAACTAGCGGGTAGTGTAGACATACCCAAAGAGGAGCTAGGCTCAAAATGAGAAAGAGTTTGCTTGTGTAGAAAATGTTCTCTCTTTCACATTTGCCTAGGTATGAAAGTTCCTCTGAGTCAAGACATTTTATTCTATTTTATTAAAACTAAAGAAAGATCTATGTGAGCAAATTTTGTCATGCATTGCTTTAAAAAAAAAGTATTTTGTGTATTAATAGCAA